ATATATATATATATATATATATATATATATATATATATATATATATTAATATTCATTGCATTATTACATTTCTATTGTATTGGTATAGTTACCAGAGTGCTAGGAGGAAGTTTGGATTCAGTCATTTATTCTTACGGGGAAAGGAAAGCTTATGAGACTCAGGACAGTGATGAAATTCTCCATCACAGAGTCCCTCCTCAAGGGACCAAACATTAAGCGCTTAGTGGAGGAGCTTTTGTTAGTCCAACAGGAGTCCAAGGATGCAGATTCAAACTTTTGTGAGTGCCACCCATGCTGGGCTGGGCATTTCATTGTTGCAACTGCCTTCGATTAGCTGATGATCCTTTAAGTAACCCAAATAAACTCACTGGTTTACTAAGCTAGCCTTAGTGGAGTTTCTTTGATCTGTCTCTGGTACCCCAAGTGATATCAACAGATGAATATTTATGTCTTCCCTGGGAAAGTCACATAAGCCTAAAAGGGTGAGGTGGAAATTTCTTTATAAATTACTGAGGTGGATTTTTTTTGTTGTTGTTTTCTTAACTTTTTGAGACAGGATTTCTCTGTGTAGCTCTGGCTGTCCTGGAACTCACGCCGTAGATCAGGCTGGCCTCGAACTCAGAGATCCACCTGCCTCTGCCTCCCAGGTGCTAGGTTCAAAGATTTGCACCACCACCCACTGGCAAGTGATTTATTCGTAATTTTTACTATTATCCCTGCCACCTAGCCTAGACACTGCTGGATCCTGAATAACATCTTTACTAAATTTAACCACACCCATATTCAGCTTCCTTCCTCTTTTAGCTGTGTTGGCTCTCAACATCGGAAGCAGCTGACAGTCCTTGTACTGCTGTGGAAACACTGTGGCTTGGTGGTGGGTAGTTTGTCTCTAGTAGCTAACATCCTGTGCTATTAATAAAATCAGCAGCCCTGGTTACCTCCAAAGTGTCACTGGAGAAAATGCAGTGTAAAGAGGGAGATGTTTGTAGAATATTAGCTGTATTGCTAAGGGACTGGCAAACCTTCACATTCCCAGTGTCACCCATAATATTCTTTTTTTCTTCTTTTCTGACCTTGTGTTGGGAGGGGGACTTGTTAACTCTGTCTGTTCTTTAAGAAAGCCACTAACTGGGCAGTAGGCAGGCTGGGCCCTGGAGCCTTCAGAGGCCTGAGACGTGGTGCAGCAGCTTCATTGTACTGCAGTTCATCTGTTTCAGCTCCGTTCCTCATCCAAGTCTCAGTATCGCCTGCGCTGTCCCACAGCAGGTCAGGAGCCATTTTCCCAACGAGCACTGCCCATGTGGCTTTGATCAAGTTGTGGAAATAGCTTCTGCTGAGGTGGTGACTCCTTAAAAGAGAGAGCAATGACCAATTTCTTTGTTCCCCAACCTTAACAGGCCCAGTACTAGACTGGAGTCTTGGTTAATGCAATGAGACTAGTGTCCTGGATTTACTGAGCTTTATCTAAAAGGCAAAGAATGTGTGTTTATATAACCTTTAGATAAATGCAGTGTCTAACAGCTAAATTTCAAACAAGGGGCATTTATTGAGAATCCTTTTCACTGTTTTCTGTCCAGCTATTATGTTTAATTCCAGTTTGCAGCAGTGGGGCTGGAACCCAAGGCTCCCTGCATGCTAATCAAGCACTGCTGAGATACTCACCCCAACTCCAGTCCTGTCTTAACAGCATCTCAGCAGCTCTATGTATACATCTCTGTACATATATAGATATGTATATTTACATCTCTATACATAGTACCGGTGCATTTTGTAGATAAAAATTGAAGCTTAAGAAATGTATTATGGACCCATGATGCTCTAAGTTCCTGTCTTGACTTCCCCCACAATGGACTGTAAAGTGTTGTTTTATTAGACCTCCTTTCTCCTCTGTGTTGCTTTCAGTCAGGACAGCAGGAGAAATAAGAGTAGGATGCTGTTCAGCATTGTAAGATTTAAATAGGAAACATTGTTTAAATCCCTAGCAGAAGTGTGTCTGTTCATAGGTTCATTCTATAGAGCTAAGTGCAGACATTATTCTAGTGCATGTCAGCGTGTGGGTAACTTATCTCTAGTGTCCAGCTGTTCCCAGATGAGCAGCCTGAGACCACGTGATAACACTGAGTGCTTCTTCCAGCTGTCATATCCTGTCCTCTCATTACTCCACCTGCTGTTGATTTGGAAGATTTTGTTGTTGTTTGGACAAGGGTACGTTTTGTTTCTTGTCAGGGAAAACCTAGGCACTGTTGTCATTTGGAAGGAAAGAACAGTCTTAGGACCTAGGGTTGAGGATGGCTCAGGCTGTAATAAGCCCATAAAATGTTCCCAGCATACTTAGGGTGCACACAGCTGAAGCGTCTGGTGAAGGTGCCTAAGCCTGTAAAGGGTGAGTGCCACCTGAAGTGAGAGCCCTGGGGCTAGTCTGCTCTGCCAAGTCACAGCCACAGTGGGGAGATCCTGCTATGGGGAGGGGATAGAATTTGACAAGAAGTGTCTCTACAGGTCAGATGAAATAATGGGGAGCCTCATCCAAATGCTTAGCTTTTGCCAAAATCAGTCTGATTTCACAGTTGGCTCAGGAAGCCAGTAACACCTGAAGGGAAAGTTTCAGGTGCCAACAGGTCTAAGCACCATTGTGGGTCAAAAGGTAATGATGTCATCACAGGGTGTGTGTGTGTGTGTGTGTGTGTGCCCCTGTCCATCTGTCTATCCGTCTGTGATGCCTCTTGTGGTGTATGTGTCCATGTCTCAGGAGGTCTGTGAACTGTGGCTGCAAGAAAGGAGGGGTGGGGGTGGGACTCACAGAAATATAAGTTGTTTTTATAGTCTAGGATTAATGGTGACTGAACACACATCACTGTACATTTGATCCTCTCTGAAGGAATAAAGGGATGCTTTGTGCCCACAGCTTGCAAAAATGGACATGCTTTCTCTGTAAGGCTCCAAATCCTGCTGGTCAGCAATTTCTAATCCAAGGAGATTTTCTCTGACCCATCTCCTCTATGTAACAATCAAAGGCTGCTCTTCCTGGCCCCAGGCAGAGGAGTCAATAAGACTCCCAAGTGACACTTCCTCTGTCCAGTTTGTGGCTTGAACCTCTCATTCCCAAAAGAGTGGGCAGCTGGGATTTCTCCTAGCATGAGTGAGTATATGTTATACACTCTGAACAGCAGTCTTCCTGGTAGCCATAAGCACATAGCCAGAATCTGCATTTCCTTTACTGGCTGGGTGGTCCCTGAATCAGGGACCTGTAGTCTTCAGAGAAAACCCTTCATGTCAGTTTTCCGAGTTTTGAACACATATCTGCTTCAAACCATGAGAATACTGAAGCCACGTCTTTCAAAGGCAGAGATCAGGAAGTAGTATGCTTCTGTGCCCAGCTGAAGCACCGTGAACGGCTACCTCCCAGGGTAGGTTCTTCAGCCAACACTCATCGTTGCTCAAAGCGGGTCCCAGTTTCCGTGCCCAGGGTAAGTGTCTGTGCATAGTAGTTGTCCAGTCTCAATCCACAGGGAACGTAGACTGCTGAGAAGCCCATCCAGCGTCTTTGGGATTTCTTCATAGAAATTTGTTCCTGAGCCAGAGTGAGAGCTCAGTCCCCATCCAACTTTAAAGATGTGGAACTGAAAATAACCACAGGTTCTAGTGCAATGCTTGCCACCCTTCAGCCGCAGAGATGATTTGTCATCATCTGTCACCTTCTCAAAACTAGGTTTAAAACAAGAGAACTCACCACACATCAAGGTCAGAAAACAACCGCAGCCTGTCCTGAAGGCATCAGGTTCTATGTCCTGGCTGCATGGTATCCATCATCTCTCAAAACTCCTAATTCTGATTCCAGTTCAGTTACAAGGGGTCTGCAGTCCTTTGTTTCCAGCAGGGTAGAAAAGGAGATGAAGGAACTTTTTAGAAGCTCCCACCTACGCACCCACCCCTGGTCTCTTAGCTCACTAACCCGGTGTCCTGACTCTATGTGGGTAGTCATACATGGGCCAAAATGCCAGAGAACATAGGAAGAGTTCCTGAGTTTACCTGTATGGACACTGTAGCAGGAATAGCAAGGGCACCTATGTAAACGCATCTCCTGCAGGAGGACCTAATTGAGGACTGCCTGAGAAACCAAGGATTGTTGGTACAGACAATGCCAGCCAATTGGGAACTGTTATTTATAAGAGATGCTTTCTTAGAACCAATGAAGCACAGGTGGAGGGTATTAAAGGAGCTTGCAGCAGCATTCAGATGAGCTTCCTGCAGTGTTTCTCACCTGCTCCCAGAGTCTATGTCATTGACTCTGCGCCACCTCACCTCCAACCCCCAAGGGCAGGTAGAGTTGGGTGGTAAGTAGTCCAGGGCACAGGCAGCACATGTCCAAGTGCAATCCTGTGTTAGGAAAACAGCATCCTTCCAGTTTCCAAGATCATCTCCATTGAATACACCCATTTCAAAGTAGGTTGTCTGGTCGGTCCTCCTCTGGAGGAAGAAACTGAAACTCCAGGATATTAGGTAACTTCTCTCAGTTCTCCCTCGGAGTCATGGCACAACCTGCTACTCCTGGCAATTTGAACCATTATTCTAAGTCAAAGCCCTTGCCTCCACCCTTTGACACCACCCTTCCATTAGGTAAAGCTCTGCTTGCTCGCCAGGGAATCTGAGATTGGGCAATGGCAGGTCCTGTTGGGACTGATCTCTAAGCCTGAGATGTCCTTGCAAGGCATTTTTCCATGGCAAGGGCTGGCTCTCTCTCCTTGTTGGTGCTCCTCCCTCCCCAATCAAGGGTGGAGGGAGGGGATGCTATGAACATCTCTGCCACCAATGCAGCCTTATAACCATACTGCCAGGGAAATGGCCACCTTTCTCCAGACCTGTCTGAG